GCTGAAAGCCCTCTCAGAGGGGCAAAACCAAGATGGTGGCCCCAGCGCTAAAATACGAATCGAATTGAACTTGATATTAAGTGTAAATTCTGCGAGAAACGTAAACTCGGAAAAAATCCGAGTCCCAGATGGGATTTGAACCCACGACCCTCCATGATCTAGTCGGATGCTCTAACCACTGAGCTACTGGAGACTCTATGGTGAGCAAGGGTCAAATTGTGGGTTTCGACTGGAACCGCATCGCGCGGCTACACAGCCACGCACTGGCTCATACGAACTCACTAACAGCATCACGCTGTCACATTAAGGCGTATCGAGATGCGTCCAACCAACCTCCCAAGTGAGTATACTGAAAGTTATATTTTTTTGAACCACTTATCTAGACCATTCATCTGAGAAAGTTTGAGGAATTTGATTTTTTCTGGTCCAAATGGCCTAGTTGAAATTTACAGAGGGCGCTTCTTAATTTACTAGACTCTTACACGCGGGTTTTTACTGTAACATAACAGACAAAATGCATCCGAACGGAACTTGAAACTCTCCAGAACTCTGTATATAATAAATATTGCGATAGCTAGGTCTCTTGTCCATTGATATCCAAGTAGTGTGGCTTACTGCACCCATTGTCTGCGTTCCGAATGTGTTTCTTTATCACTGCTTTGCATTTCAACATCTTTCATTGAGCTACTCCTTTTGTTAATCCTTTCATTTACTCTTTAAGACTTTCCATGCTCAGAGAAATGTTAAAAAAGAATGAAGCTGCAAAAGTAGTCAGAACAATATGGAGTTAACCATAAACCTCACGTTAACGTTTTAGTAAAGGGCCTGTTGTCGTCTTCGTTCAAATTCTCAAAATGTCCGTTCAATTTCTCGCTAGACCGCCCCGCAAGTAGTCTCCTCCGCAGCCGCTTTTTTGGGATGTCACGTAACGCTCCCCCGAAAGAAACTTCTTCTTTTTGGGGGAGCGTTGTGTGACATCCCAAAAAACGGCTGCGGAGGAGACTACCCCGCAAGGAAGTATAGGTATCTCGCAAGGCCCAGGTCCCTATATTACGGCCCAGGCCTTAACAAAATAATTCTAACAGGGTCAGCCAAAAGCGCGCGAAATGTAGCATACGTTTGGTGGGCCACCCTGTTGTAATTACGGTGTTGCAATATGTTAGATTGTGCAACAAGGCGGCCAGTTCTCAGGAACATGCTGTGCGTTCCAGTACTGTGATAAGTTTCCGGGGGGGGGGCATCTTGTATGAAAAGATTGGAGATACTCGTCGGAAAATTTAAATTAAATCTCTAAAGGAAACAAATCTGGGCGGGTCTAGAGCTTTATTTCATCCCTTAAAGATATCACTTAAAACGGAATAGGCTCGATTACCAGCCGCTGTTCAGGAAAGGAGCCCACGCTACTATATCGAACTGGAGAGAGAAGCGGAAATCGAGTTTAAAAACGGAAATAAGAGCTTGTTTTATTTATCATTTCGTCTAGTGCAGCCTAAAAGATTCTCTCATAGCTAACAACAGTGGCGTTTTGTCATGAACAGCTTAAGTGATACCAGAATCCCTGGTTTTTACCTCTAAGCGATTGAACAAGCATCACCGACCTTTTCATATGGGAGTCCCCGCGAGGATAAGTTGCGGTTGCATTGAATGTTGCGTGCGTTAACTCTTCAGTGGAGACAATAACGCAAAGGAAGGAATCCATTTATTTTTGTGAACTCGGCTGAACTTCCATATTGTTTTCGAAGATGTTCTTTTTTCTCTCTCTTTTTTTATTCTCCTTTCATCAATTGTAGACATCGCATTGCGACTTGCTGGTTCCAATCTGCCCTACGCCGGCCGTGTAGAGGTCCGTTATGCGGGAGTCTGGGGTGTAATATGTCCCCGTCACATGAATGGCACTGTGTTTAAGGTAATTTGTCGCCAACTGGGCTTTACTGACGTGTTGGGTGATGAAAGAGTGTACCGCAGACTCCAGCATCCATACAGAAATTTACGACTCTATGGGGAAGGAAATGGACCAGTTTGGCTAAACAGAGTTCGCTGCCATGGCAACGAAAGCAGTCTTTCTCAATGCCAAATTGACAATCCAGGAGAAAGGTTGTGGTGCAATCACGATGAGGCGTTGGAATTGATGTGCAGACCAAGGAATTTTACTCCACGTGAGTTATGTTGCTAACTTTTCCGAGTAAAAGGAGCTCAGTGACAATATTATGAGTTATTTTGGCCAAATACAAAGTTACCTTGAAATTGAAGGAAATCTGAAAATAGTAGCTATACTAAGATAGAAAAACACCAAAGAGAAAGTAACAACCCACAATAGAACAAGGATGGTTAAGCTGATGGAGAAACAAAATAAAAACTGAGTTATAAAAAGACTGAAGTCGTGAACTACAACATTAGCCTATACCAGGCGATCAGTTAGTTGGGGCGCAGCGCAAAAAAACAAAACAAAACAAAAACAAAAACAAAAACAAAAACAAAAACAAAAACAAAAACAAAAAAACAAAAAACAACAAAGGCCGCGCTTCTTCTGTATTTTTTTCGTCTGCTGTTTTTCGCACTGAGCCTCAACTAACTGAACGCCTGGAAGAGGCTCCTACGACATGGACAAGATGCACTGTAAGAAAGACCAAGAGACGATCAATCGGTACATGATAAACGGGTCTAAATTTTGCGTCCAAGCAACAAATCCCTACACGAGATTTAGAAATATCTCAGGGCGCATTCTTTTGGAATGATCTGGATCAGGATCAATGATCGAAAATCACTCGGATCATGGTGCATCAAAGGAACCGATGAATCAATTCGGAGCAAGGATTCATCGGTTCCTTTAATGCGCCATGATTCGCGTGATCTCGGATCATTGATACTGATCAGGATTAACCCAAAGGAATGCACCCTTAATGGTGTGTTTTTGTTTAATCAGCATACCCTATCCGCTTGGCTGGATCGTCTGTGTCACACGCTGGTCTGGTTGAAGTTTTCTACAATGGCAGCTGGGGCACTGTGTGCAGTGGAGTTCGAGATTGGGATTTCTCTACTCCAAACGCACTTGTCGTGTGTAGACAGCTTGGATTCGGTCCAGCTATCAGGTCAGTCTTGGGGGCTTTAGGAGAGGATTGGAGACTAAAAGACTGGGCATTATAACAGCTAACTCCATTGTAGTAAGGAGGTTGAAAGAGAAATGAAGGGAAGTTGAATGGGAGAGCGTGAGGGAGGCAACCGAACTGACCTCACGGACGAGGAGGGGGAGGGGGCGGGAAGGATGGTGGGAAGGGTACGTGGCTAACTGACCAACTTACTGAATGGCTGACTGGCCGACTGGCGGACCGACTGACTGACTGTCTGACTGATTGACTGACTGACCGACTGACTGACTGACTGATCACTGACTGACTGAATGAATAAATGACTGATTGATTGATTGACTGACTGACTGACTGACTGATCCCTGACGGAATGAATGAATAAATGACTGATTGATTGTTTGACTGACTGACTGACTGACTGACTGATTGATTGACTGACAAACTGACTGACTATTGATGGATTGACAGACGGACTGACTGACTGACTGACTGATCGACTTATCACTGACTGAACAACTGACTGATTGACTGACTGATGGACTGATCGATTGACTGACTGACTGACCGATTGATTGAATGACTGACTGACTGCCTGATTCTCTGACTGATTGACTGACAGACTGTCTGACGGAATGACTGAATGAATCACTGTCACCCATTTTATTTGCGCTTTGGAACCCGTTTACATAGACCCAGTCCATACCAGTCTTTACGCAACTACGCCGTGCAGACTCTAGTGCTCTATATCTTCTCTTTCAAGAATGGCAATACTGTTAAATTTTGTTCCTGATTAAACAGTAGACGTTTCTACTACATGATATATATAGTTATGAGGTTTACCACGCTTTCATATTTCATATTTGACAAAAGTTCTGTTTTAGATCGTCTACTAGCTGGCTAGCCCCAGAGTTTTCCAACTGTCCGTCAAGAGAACACGCCACAGGGGCTGTCTGGCTGACAGATGTCCAGTGCCGGGGAAATGAAAGTTCCATTGACCAGTGTCCCCATTCAGAGTGGGGTGTGGCAAAGGGTGGTTGTGACCGCCACACCTTCGACGCATGCCTGGTGTGCGATAACCCACAGTATCATAAATCTGGTAAGATTGATTTCCTTTAGATTAATTGTATTTTCTATGCCTCCTTTTACATACATGGGGTGATGAATGATAAATGGGAGACATTGCGAGAAGGCGGGCTAGTGTCATTCTTTGCGAGAAAAAGTTATTTCACCTTTTTATATTGCCAGACCGAGACCTATGTGCTTTAAATGCGAGTTCGAGATATCCAGACTCTAAGACGTTCAGACGTCATTTCTAAAAACAACAGACAAATGGGGACTTCGAGACTTTCTTAGCCTTGGAAAATCGAGACTCTGAGATAGCTCTGTGAAAAATTAAAGCCAACTAACGTGTAATGTAAAGTGTATTTACCAGTATGCAGTATAATTAATAAATCATTCCATCGAGCAGCTACCGAAAGGTTTTGAAAACGAAGTTATTCTCTTCAGAAATTGCTGTGAAACTAAGTGGTTCTGAAGCACCTTACGCCGGCCGCGTTAAAGTACGCTACCAAGGGGTCTGGGGTACACTATGTAGCAATGACTGGAAACCGGAAACCGCTGAAGTGTTGTGCCGTCAGCTCGGATATGATGACGTTGAGCTGGACTTCACTTTGTACAACGAAGACGAGTACCTTCCAATGGAAGTGTATAACGTGGTCCTGGGCCCAGTGTGGTTTAACAGTGACGGATGCAGTGGCCACGAAAAAACTTTGTCCGAGTGTAATCTCCGACAGGAAATGTTTTGTAGCAACGACAATGTGGAACTAATCTGCAAAGTTGAAAATGTTTCTGTTAATGGTGAGCGGTTTTGATTTGTCGAGTAACTCTATTGACAGGAGAGCATAAAGCAGGAGAGGGCGTCGTTTACAATCCCAGTGAATCAACTCTATCGATTATTAATCATTGCCACAGCCCCTAGTGTACCACGAAAAGGTTCTCTGCCAGTGACTTGCTTTCTGACTGAAGTTTTGGGTGCGGAATTTTTCGATATATAAGTAGTGGGGTCTGGGAATTGTCTAACAAAAAAGATAAGCGCCAGTTTCCCCTGGAATGAGGTACTGTAACGGAGAAGCGCTTCTCTCAGTTAGATGCAATAAATTTATTTGTCGTACCTCCCAACTCGAACACGTTTTTTAATTGGAGGGGAATCTGTCCCGTGTCGTGGGTCAAAATTCATTAACCCCCTATGGAAACAAGAAAGTAACAACTTGAACTTTCGACTCGCACTTGATCAGGTCGTACACATTGAAACCACGGCAAATTTGTTTTGCCAGTTTGAGTCAAACAAATAATTTTCTCGCAGTTTGTTCTAGTTGTGAGTTGGGAGGTATAACAAAACACTTCACTGGTTTCGTCGAGGGAAAAATTGAGGTCGAGGGGAAACAAAACTCATCGTTTCCCTTAGGCCATGCAGTCATTAGGTGCTTAGTGACGCACTGAGAAAGAAGACATAGACCAAAAATGGAGCAGGTGCACAAAATGAAAGCTGGAGGAGGGGAAGGAGGGGACGGCCTTGGTTTCTTATCGTGATGCTGTCATTCTATTGCTGTACGTGCTATCAAGTAGGAGCAACCATAGGAGGCACTTTTTTGTTTTTTGTTACAAATACTTTTTTTTAGGTATTTATTTACTGTGATTTACTGTAGAGTTTGCAGTGCGACTCCATGGTGGGAACCTTTCCAACGAGGGCCGGGTGGAGGTTTTCTATGGTGGCCTTTGGGGCACAATCAGCGCCAAGAAATGGGACCTAGCAGACGCCCTGGTACTTTGTCGTCAGCTTGGTTTCACAAAAGCCCATGGAACGTACAATAAAAGACCCAATGACAAACGTGTTATTTGGTTTACTGATTTTGAATGCCAAGGAAGTGAGGCAACATTGGGACAATGCAAGCACAATCTACTGGCCAGGGCCTTCTTGTCTGACGACGAACCTTTAGACGTTTTTGCACGTTGCGGAGAAGACATGGAAAGCAAAACAGGTTTATCTATCGTTCATAATTTGTATTTCATTTCTTAATGTGAAATTCATGTGAGGCAAAGTCATGCGTTACCCATTGCTAAGTCGTATTATTACCCCCTCAGGTCCGACAGTAACAAGCTTAAGAATCAACATCCCAAGGGCCTCCCCCACAGCAACACCTAAACTTCCGGCTGCCAGTTCAGAGATAGGGTCGACAACAACATTTTCAGCTGCCACGACGTCTTCAACAGAACTCCAACCTTCTCAGACTTTCACCACTCAAGGACCCTCGTCTACCTCGGCCCCAAGTACAGCCGGCCCTCCAGATAAGTGCCCCAACACAATGTGCCAGAATGGTGGTTCTTGTGAGCGGCTGAAAACAACGTGGAAATGTTCCTGCTTTGAGAACTTTGCGGGTGAATATTGTGAAGTTTATGTTGGTAAGTAAAGAGTTGTCTCTCTCCTTTAGAAAGATAATGATGCTAATGATAGCTAGCATGATGCTCTGCTGGCTTTAACAGCACGTTTGATTGCACAGCAATTTCTTGCAACCTCTGATCCCGTGCATACGTACCACCTCTTCCTTCTCGACACAAGGTCAGCCAAAATGATACTTTATACGCTTCTTAGGTGTTTTTACCAATGACATGTCTTTTGTGATTCTACTATTCTATTGCAGTCTTGGTTTTTTATTGTGTTTCTGTTAAATTCGTGGGCAGAGAGTAAACCCCACGGTGAAGTAATAAGGTCTCAGCCGTTCTTACACGAGAATACATGTGCGCATGTGCTACCCATTCCAGGCCATCAGAGCACGAAAGATCGATTCCACTTTAGCTTTGCTTCTTTAAATGAATATTTTTTTCTTTAGATAAACATGTTAAAACGCACGTTTTAACTTGTATATCAGATGAATATATTGTATATCAGATGAATATATCGGGCACTGAAAACTTGATTTAGACGTCAAGAAACATTCAAAATTGTCCGCCTTTAAGGCCGGAGTAAACATGAATTTAAGTGAAATTTTAGGAAGTTTAAAGAGGGATTAAAAGGAAAGAAAGGGGTTTGGAACACCATCAGACAGTTAATTGCCCCCAAAAGGGCTCCCCGGGTTGGTGGGCAACTGTTTGGTGTTCGTCTACCAATTTCTAACTTCAAATTCTAATTTTAAAACAGCATCAAATCTTCAAAATTTCATATTTCCATAAATTTTACTAATCCTTTGAGAAAAACTATTTATCCCCAAATATACCCAAAAATCACCAAAAATTTACAAAACAGCCCTAAACGTAGCTACGTGAAATGAGCAGAGAGATTTTTCACTGCTTGAAACGTGAACGAGATATTTGCATTCAAACCATAATACCCAGCAAAAATACGGCCTTTATGTTAACCCCCGCCTTAATAAGAACCATTCCTTTGAAAACGACGAAAACATTTGTATTTATATATGAGAGTGCCACGTTCTCTGCTTTACGTACCGCTGATTAAAAAAAATCGGGTCTTAAGCCTCGACACGAAATGGCAAGCCGAAGCTGCGCCTCCGTGATTATGAGATACCGAAAATACGTATGGTTTGTAAATCATTGCGAAGGTTTTCGGGGAGGGGAGATATCTTATCTGGGCGAGAAAAAATTACACCGGGCGAGTGGATTTTGATAGTCACTCGCCCGAATGGCGAGTGTTGTCATAATTCAGTTTCTATCACTGTCCTTTACATTTTTATTTATATCATAGGTTCCAATGCGGTTTCTGTCGTCTTAAAAATGAATCGGGATCAAGTAAGTGACATGTTTTTAGTTCTGTCAAACTAACATTATTCTCCAATCTCTAGATAGGCAAGAAATCCTCGAAAAAAATTAACTAGTAACTGAGATTCCAACACCCCCAGTCAGACTCTCCAGAAACACTTGTAGCATATTTTCAACCTCGTTTCCAAAAGCCCTCGGAACCAGGCTGGCATCTTGTTGTTAAGCAAAGAAACCACGTCCACGTTTGTAACGAGCGAATTCTAGCATGAAAATTTTCTGAGATTAATCTTGATATAATTGTCAAAAAGTTAGTTCTTTCTTTCATGTTGTTTCGTATAACTTAAAACTATTATTTTTTGGCAGTGGAATCCTATGGAGTTTAAAAAGACTCTTGCTGAGATCCTAACAAGCCACTGTAGTTTGAACCCATGTCTTGACGACGAAAAGCAGTAAGTAGAAATGATGAATCTGTAATTAGAGTTTTGATTCTACCCCATGCACATCTAGACTTAATCACATTCAAACACTATTTAGTAATACCTTCATAGTGATTTAAGGACGGTTAGTTAACCATTGCGACAAGCTTTCCCAAATGTTCGATGATGAAACAGAAATATCAATGTAGGCCTTGGAAAAATATATGGTTCAAGTGAATAATTGAAAAGTTTAAAACGCGCTAGTTTGAAAACAGGTACATTTGGCCGAAGACAATGGCCAGCGGTGTTCAAATTGGCAGTAAAAATACCACGTGTGGCCATCTGATGACGTAGCTAATTGTAGTCAAGACGACTTCAATGTCTTTCTCTTCCTTATCTACCACATCTGCTAACATCCTGGTTATTTGGAGATTCACAGATAGCATTCTCTAACTGCAGAATCGCGATACACGTTGGGTCCTTCCCTTTCCTTCCTCATCTTTGAAGGCGACCTAAACAAATGTCTTCATTTTCTCTTTATTTTCCAGGAACACGAAAAGAAAAAGCCAAAAAAAGTCTCTCAGTTTCCAACCCGATGACATCATTATTCTGCAAGATTACCCCAAATCATGGGAGGGAACGAGTCTGTTAAATGTCAGACTAGCTGTTAAGACCCCGGACGAAAGCGAAAATGACGTTATTCCTCATGATATTTTGAGTGCGTTAATGGTGAACGTGGCGCCGGAAATCCATCGACGAATGGGACATGGCGTCGTTTTTATCGAGCGGGTGGAAGTCGGGTCGCGCCAGGCTTCCTCGGCTCCACCCGAAGCGTTCGGTGGCAACTCAGATGAACCTAACTCGGGGACGTCACACAAGTACGCCCTGATAGTCCTCGGTGTTGTTCTTGGAGTTGTATGTCTGGTCGCCATTATCATCATCGTCTTCTATCGTCGGAAAAAGAAACGGTGAGTAAAAGCGGTGGTACACTGCCCCCCTGCGGTACTCCACCCGGCCCGCCTCCCAAACCCTTACCATTTAAACCCAGGGATTTTCCCTACTCCGGTTCAGACCTGCCTTATGACTACATTGCAAAAACCAAATCCTATTTGAGACTTAAGTGGCTAAAATCGATACCCTCTTTCTGACTAAAAAGTCTAATGAACCAAACGCAATGGGTCCGCACATACCTATCTGGCCTATACGAGGGAGTAGCCCTCCAGGGCACTGGTTCACTGTGGCAGAGGAACGGCATTGGTGGGTAAGAGTTTGGAGAAGATGGCACGGGGTAGGATGAAAAACAGTAAAACCCGCGTGTAAGAACCTACATGTTTTAAAATCTGGCAAAATAGTTTCTTCTAGTTTGGGGTACTTATTGACAATTTAAGCAAGTATGTTATTGTTACCTTCTTAATTTCTAGGAAGGAGATATAATTGTTGATAACCAGAAAAATAAATTAGCTTGGGTTTGGCCTGTACTGTGGTAAGCCTAACACAACTGATTACAGAATGTATGTGTCATGTTGCCTCTCTAACAAGAGTTCATAATTTAACTGTAACCCACGTATAAAAACCTGCTTGATGTTACTTGGCTAAACAGGTTATAATATCTTTGGTTTTTAAAATGGAAAATTCATGCCATCAGCTTCTTAAACTACTAGGCTCTTACATGCATGTTTTTACTGTAACTGAAGGAAGTGAAAACCAAATGTTAGTTTGTCTTTCTTTTGCAACTAATGTAATAAAATATCTTCCTTTTAGGGAGAAGACGTCATTGAGGGAGAACAGATTGGACGAGAAACCCGCGGAAAGTATTCGACTGATGGCTATTTAAATGGCCACGATGTGTCACTCCTTAGTCATAATTTATGCTTTTCATTTTGGTATCAAACGTTTTTCAAGTAACAGAACGCTCGCTGAAATCACTTTCCTGATTATCTCAACGTATAATACAACGAGTCACAGATTCGCTAGGACTCACGATAACGACCCCTCCCCCTCCCCCCACGAAAATGAGACATGTAAAAAGTGAAATAGTTTCATCATCAGGTTGCAAAGGATGCTTGCTTATTAATAAAATCGATAGAAAAATTCATTGAGTAGGAGTTATCTTATCAAGTTTATTTTCTTTTCTCTTCTTGGTACGCTTCGGCGGCATACTAGGCGAATTTGGTCATGTTTTAGCGAGACGTAGTTGAGCCAAAATACCCATGGCAAGACCAAACGAGCTTGATATATATGCCACCGAAGCGAACCAAAAAGGTGCGATTAGGTATTTACTGTACCCAAATTCGGTCAAGTGAGCATGATATCGTAGCCATACCTGGTCAGTGACTTGATATCGCAGGATATCAGGACGGTAGACACGGCTTCTGATTGGCTAATTGCGAATTTGGGCTCGGTAATGCAGTCAAGATGACTTCGAAACGTCGTAGTTCACTTTCGCTTCTATTGGTAATCAGCTGTACTTCCAAATTGATGTCTCCTTATCAGATGACCGAGTGGTAAGAGTGCCCGTCAACCAGATCACCAACCATGCATGGCCTGGTTAAAAAGTTTAAATAATTAATGTTACAAGCAGAGGCTTCGCTGTATATGCATCGCGCGGAATTCGATCAAAGAACGGGTGGCGCGAACTAAAGAATGGCGGCAAATCCAAGTTCTGTTAGCCTCTATCGATCAAATTCGCGGACCGTCGCTCGATCCGAGCCAAATTTGATTCGCCGTGTCGAGCGAATGGTTTCATAAACCACGAGAGGTCATCGAAAGTGATTTCTTTCCGTTTTTCAAGGCTGACATCGCAGAAGTTTATATTTTTGATTTGTGTGATACAAATGGCGGGTTGGTTCGTGGATCCATCGTGGTCATCATGGTTTCAAACTTTGAGAAAGAAAGACACAGTTATTGTTGCTACTCTGTTCGGAATAGTTTAAAGCGTTACAAAGAAAGATCCTGGATGCCAATAAAATACAGAATTTCAAGCGATCGAAGCTCGAGATACTTTTCGGCGAAGCAAGCAACAGGCGAAAATACGTCTGCGCTGCAGCCAAACTGATACGCGGCTCTTTGTGATACGCTCTTGAGCAAAATTGCCAAACAGAAAAAATGGTTAACACTTGGAAAAATGGGTCACACTTGGAAAAATGGGTTACACTAGAAAAATGGGTCACACTTGGAAAAATGGGTTACACTGGAAAAAATGGGTCACACTTGGAAAAATGGGTCACATTTGGAATAATGGGTCACACTTGGAAAAATGGGTCACACTGAGAAAAAGGATCACGCTTGTAAAAATAGGTCAAACTTGGAAAATGGGTCACACTTAAAAAAATGGGTAAAATTTTTTTAAGTGGGTCAAACTGGGAAAAAAGGGTCACACCTGGAAAAATGTAGTCTCCTCCGCAGCCGTTATTAGAGTCGTCACGCAACGCTTCTCCACCACTAGTGGGGGAGAAGCGTTGCGTGACGACCCTAAAAACGGCTGCGGAGGAGACTAGGAAAAATGGGTCACAGTTAGAAGAGTGGGTCACACTGGGATAAAAGGGTCACACTTAGGAAAAAGTATCACACTGGAAAAATGGGTCACACTAGAATAAAAGGGGGTCTCACTTGGAAAAATCGGTCACACTCTGTTAACAAAGCAACACGGCTCAGTTGAAAGCGAAAATCCCAACTCTTTTCCCGTTTTGACAGTGAAAAGCTATCGCGATTACCATTGCTTCATATATAAGTCTGAGTGCAGTGGATTAGCGCTATACATGTTTCCAGAAAACTGATAAGTTTTTAATTACCTTGATTTATTTTTCGGAATGATTCCGTTGACAGGTAGATGCCGTCTTTAACACGTTTCTTGTCAAAATGTATCAAATTATTTTTACCCTGCGGTTAAGTTGGCTTGGATTAAAACTAGACCCCCTCCTGAGTTTTCGCTATTCACTAGCGCAAAGTAAGTAGGAGGCAGCTATTTTTAGAACCTCATGAATCTCGTCGTGAGTCCTGACAAATGTAATAGCATTTATAACCGATCCTAGAGCCTACTCATAATTTTCTGCTACGACAGAAATAAATTGGGCGATTTGAAGACTCTAGAAGTTATTGTCCTCTTCTCTGGTATCAGGGTTACCCTCTCTCGTTAGCAATCTATGTGAAAATTAAAAGGTTCTTCCTGGCTCGGCTTCCAACTTCGCTCATAGGAGGCGCGCATGCTCTAGACGCATAACTGCGTGTAGTCAGGCTTCTCTTATGGAAATAAACTTGGTTTACATAAATATATATTTCTGGCGATAGTCCGCCAGTGCCTAACAACAAAACCGCTACAAACTCCGTTTTTCGTGTGGCTGTTTAGCACTCTAGAAATACTTTGGTTGATGTGTTAATCATATACATCTGAATGTGATTCAATATTAAAATGAAAAATAACAGTAACTTTAAATCACATCTGTTAACCTAAGTGTGATTCAATATTATTGCGCCTGTCAATAACATGCGGACTCTAAAATTCAGAGCTCAACCGACAAATGCGTTTTTCGATACCGTCAATCAAATGTTCGGCGGCTCCTCCCAGCTTCCGACTACTGCCGAGCGCTAGGTAATCAAATCGTTGAGCTCAGTTGAGACAACGAAACTGACGTAGCAGTGCATCATGAACAGTAAAAATAGTTTAAGATATCTTACATCACGGTCTACATATAAAGTGCCAACCCATGTGCCACCAACTTAAATTTGAACTGGAACGAAGAATTTCTAAACGATTTATAAGAACTCAGTGTTTTTACGAATTACACCCACAGCCTTAGAGGTATACAGCCCTGTTCTCATAGAATTAAAAAAAAAAAA